GGCATGGATGTTAGCTCAGGGCCAGTCTTCCTCAGCAAAAACAAGAGGAGGATTGGCAGACGTTAGCACAGGGTTGATCTTCCTCACCAAAAAAAAAAAATATATATATATATATATTTGAAGACATTTTTACCAAAGATATACAAACGGTGAATAAGCATATGAAAAAAATATTCTACATCACTAATCATGAGGGAAATGCAAATTAAAACCACAATGAGATACCATTTCACACCCACTAGAATGGTTATAATCAAAAAGAGAGTCAATAACAAGTGCTAGCAAGAACATGGAGTAATTAAAATCCTGATGGATTGGAGGTAGGAATGTAAAATGGTACTGCCACTTTGGAAAACAGTTTGGCAGTTTCTTAAAAAGTTAAATATAATTTTACCATATGACCTAGCAATGCCATTCTCAGGTATATACCCAAGAGAAATGAAAACACATATCTACACAAAAGACTTGTGTTGGTCCTGTGACGTAGTGGTTAAGGTTCCACGTGCTCCGCTTTGGCGGCCCTGGTTCGTGGGTTCGGATCCTGGCACGGACCTGTACACTACTCATCCATGCTTAGGCAGAGACCCACATACACAATAGAGGAAGACTGGCACAGATCTTAGCTCAGTGCTAATCTTCCTCAAGCAAAAAAAGAGGAAGACTGGCAACAGATGTTAGCTCGGGGCTAATCTTCCTCAGGTAAAAAAACATAAAAAAGAAAAAAACCCAACTTGTACATGAATGTTCACAGCAGCACTATAAAATAACCAAAAAACAGAAACAATACAAATGTCTATCAATTGACGAACAGACAAAATGTGGTACATGCATATAATGAAATCGTATTTAACAATTAAAGGGAATGAAGTACTGATACAGGCTACGACATAGATGAATCTCAATCTCATAGACTTTTCACATTATGCTAAGTGAAAAGTCTAATACAAAACAACCACATAAACGATTACATTTATATGAAATGTCCAGAATAGGCAAATCTATAGAGAAAGAAGGTAGATTAGTGGTTGCTTGAGGTGCTAGGGGTGAGAATAGAGAGCAGCTGCAAATGGGTACAAGGCATATTTTTGGGGTGATGAAATATTCTAAAATTGGTTTGTGGTGATGGTTGCACAATTTTGTAAACTTAGTAAAAATCAGTGAATTTTATGGTATGTGAATTATTTGTCAATAAAACTGTTATAAAAAGTAAAGACTTTCTAATGCATTAGAATATGGAATTATTTAAACAATTCAACAAACTATGTAGAGATATTCTAGTTTAGACCCTATGAAGACTGAAGTTATCAAGTCAGTAGTCTGCTATGATGGAAGAGTATATCAAAAAACAGAGATGTCTCAAACCCAGAGATTTATTTCTTTTTTTTTAATGTGTCTATAAAACCAGTTTCTGAGTTAGTTATATTGATTATAATGAACATCAGCTCTATAACACAAGAAGTAATAATGATTATTAATTACACTTTAGTTTGGTAATTACAATCTTTGCAATTCTTCTAGTCACTATCACCATTTTCTTCATTCACATGGCAAAAAAGAAACATATCCTTCAACTGATTGAGAGCAGAAAACACCATGGGATAAATAAGCACTAACTAAGCCTAAATTCTAAAAACAAAAAATAGGAGCAATTCTTTAAATATAACCTATGAGTTGTCAACTCTCGAATTTTTATCTCCATCCTGGAAATCTCTCCTGAACTCCAGACTTGTAGTCCAACTGCCTCCTCAGCATCTCCACTTGGATTTCTACTAGGTATTTATTTCAAACTTATAATGACCAAGATTGAACTCGTGATTCACCTTGTCCCCAAATCTCTTCCTATCGTATTCCTCACTTTAGTAAATTTTAACTCTGTCATCTTGGTTGACAGGCTCTAAGTGTGGGGAGTCATCCCTGATTCATTCCTCTTTCTCCTTCGTATCCTATCTACACCCAATCCATTAGTAAATACGGTTGACATGCTTTTAAATGTTTCCAGAACCCAACCATTTCACACTCCCTCTACTGCAACCACTTTGGTCCAAGTCACTAATATTTCTCATCTGGGTGACTGTCTCCTAACCAGTCATTCTGCTTCTACCATTGCCCCTTACATACTATTTTCAACTCAGTAGCCAGAGAGACGCTTTTAAAAGTTAAACTGGCTCTGTTACTCCTCTAACGGCTTCCAATTTCATTCAGAGTGAAAGTCAAAGTGCTGGCAATGGCCATGGCCCTACATGGTCAGCATCTCTCTGTACCATCTCAATGATCTCATCTCCTGTCACTCTTCAGCTGGCTCATTTCACACCAACTATACAGCTCTCCTTGCTGTTCCCTGAACACTCCAACCACGATGCCATTTCAATGCTTTTGTACTTGCTGTTTCCGCGATCTACACTGCTCTTCCCCCAGAGGCCCACTGCCCTCTCCCTTAACTCTTTCAGGTCTCTGCTGAATTGTCACCTTATCAGTGCTGACTTCTCCCCCAAAGGACACCCAATCTCTGTTATCCTGTGTCATTTTTTTCCATTGCACTTATCACTCTCTGAAGTATTCTAGCTCTACTTATTTCTTTGCATTTGTTTATTGTTTGTCTCCTTTAACTAGAATGTATGCTCCATAACAGCAGGTACCTGGCTTTGTTCACCTCTTGAGTTCCAGCCCTTAGAATAGTGTCTGGCACATAGGAGGTGCCCAACAAATATTTGCTGAATTAATCAATGAATAAACTCAGTGAACTCAAGAAAGTATTCTGAAAAATGCCTGATTATTTTAAACTGGTAGTTTAAATCCAAGAATTTGGTTGAGTAAGAAGATTAATACATTCAGGCTTTTTATTACACCACCTAAATAAAAAAGAGATAATCTTATTTTACATATTTATTGTTCAGGAAATTAATATCAGTAGGAAAACTTAGCAAAATTTTCCCATTTAGAGGTGATCCCAGTTAAAGAGGATTATCTGATCTAATGACAATTGGGTAAAACTATCTTAATTCAAATGCTTCAGATTTTTAGAGCCTGTAAATATTGAACCAGTTTTTTTGTGCTATAAAAAAGTTATTAATATGATGCAGAAGAAAAAACATAAAGCACAGAAACTAAAAATCTGGAAGGGTCCTTAGAGATTATCTAATTACCTATCATTTTACAAAGAGGAGGGTAAGAAGTAAAATGACTTGTCCATATAACTTGTGTGCTGTGGTCAAACTGGTCTTTAAAAATATACACTCAAGGGGCCGGCCCGTTGGTGTAGTGGTTAAGTTCGTGTGATCTGCTTCGGCGGCCCGGGCTTTGCTGGTTCGGATCCTGGGCATGCACCTACTCACTGCTCATCAAGCCATGCTGGGGTGGTGTCCCACACAGAAGAACCAGAAGGACCTACAGCTAGGATATACAACTATGTACTGGGGCTTGGCCGAGAAATAAGAAAAAGAGGAAGACTGGCAATAGATGTTAGCTGAGGGCCAATTTTCTTCTTCTTCAAAAAAAATACTCAAGCACCTACTCTTGCCTAAAATGCGTTTACCTCACCTAAAAAATTATTTAAATCTCAAAATTCCTTCAGAGATACGAGAGCCTACACTAGGGCTTGTTGCAGACATAAAGAGAACAGAAGGGGGAGAACATAAAGTGCCCAGCACAGGCCCGACAGACACCATGCTCATGGAACAGCAGCTGGTGGCTGTTGGCTCAGCTTACGTCCTATCTCTTCCACTAAGAAGATGTACAAGAAGAGACGGTCCAACCAATCCCGCCCTCTGTGACCTTCCCAGATCGCACCCAAGGGGCATTTGCCTGTCTAGGCTCTTATTCATTCACCATTTAGCATGCAGTATCTTGGATTGATATTTATTTTTTATTGTAGAAATCGTATCTTAATTACAAATTCAAATAGTAAGAAAGTTAAGTTAAAAAGTTAAGAAAACACTAAACTTAAAACGTATAATACTTTGAGTTTTATATGATTACTAACAAGACAAGCACAGGCTGCAATAGCCATGTTTTGTGGCTATTTTGTTTTGTGAGGAAGATTGTCGCTAAGCTAACATCTGTGCCAATATTCCTCTATTTTTGTATGTGGGACATCGCTCCAGCATGGCTTGATGAGTAGTGTGTAGGTCCGCGCCTGGGATCCAAACCCATGAACACCATGCCACCAAAGTGGAGTGCGTGAACTTAACCACCACGCCAGCAGGCCAGCCCCCACTCTGGCTATTTTTTAAGTATATATTTCTTGACTTGAACTCAAACAAAGGCCTTAAAATGGTCTCAAATGGTATCTTTCAGAACCTTTTTAAATAGGAATTTCAAATTTTGTCGTCAGATTATTTCCTTAGTAAAGATTTCCAAAAATCAAAATATTTGGTCAAAGGGTAGATAGATCATGATTCTGTAATATTATACGTCAATATGGCTTTTCAGATACATATACCTGCCATGTTTATCAGTTCGGCTATTAGGATACAAATAGACAATATTTATCTGGAGAAAAGTGCCAGTTATGGTATTTTTAACAAATCTTTCAGCAATCTTAACGACCAAGGGAACTGAGAATCACAGAATTCTATAATTTTTATTTATTTATTTATTTTTTCCCCCAAAGCCCCAGTAGATAGTTGTATGTCATAGTTGCACATCCTTCCAGTGGTTGTACTTGGGACGTGGCCTCAGCATGGCCGGAGAAGTGGCGTGTTGGTGCGGGCCCAGGATCTGAACCCAGGCCGCCAGCAGTGGAGCTCGCACACCCAATCACCAAGCCACGGGGCCAGCCCAGAATCACAGAATTCTGAAACTTAAACTTTTGCAAGCCTTTAGTACTACACAAATTTTTGTATGTAGGAAAAATAAAATTCAGAAGTTAAATAATTTATCCAAAGTCACACAGCAATTTAGTGGCAAAGCCTGGGCTCAATTATAAGTTTCTAAATCTAGAAATACAATACAAGCTTCTTTTATTTGTGGATAATTTTTAAGCTAGAAAATGCTTCCTCAAAAGGCAATATGTCAACACCCATTAGGATGGCTACTATCAAAAAACCCAGAAAATAACAATTGTTAGGGAGGATGTGGAGAAACGGGAATGTTTGCACACTGTTGGTGGGAAGATAAAACAATGCAGCTGCTGTAGAAAACAGTGGGGTGGTTTCTTAAAAAACTAAGACTAGGGGCCAGCCCGGTGGTGTAGCAGTTAAGTGCACACGCCCAGCTTCGGCGGCCCGGGGTTCGTGGGTTTGGATCCTGGGCGTGCACCGACGCACCGCTTGTCAAGCCACGCTGTGGCGGCGTCCCATATGAAGTATAGGAAGATGGGCACAGATTGTTAGCCCAGGGCCAATCTTCCTCAGCAAAAAAAAAGGAGGATTAGCATCGGATGTTAGCTCAGGGCTCATCTTCCTCACACACAAGAAAAACAAAAAAGAAAAAACTAAAGCTAGAATTACCATATAATCCAGCAATTCTACTTCTGGGTATATACCCAAAAGAATCGACAGCAGGGTCTCAAAGAGATATCTGTACATCCATGTCCATAGAAGGATTATTTGCAATACCTTTACCCAAGTGTCCACTGACTTATGAATGCATAAACAAAATATGGTATATACATACAACGGAATATTATTTAGCCTTAAAAAGGAAGGAGAGGGGCCGGCCCGGTGGCGCAGGCGGTTGGGTGTGCGCGCTCCGCTGTGGTGTCCAGGGGTTCGCCGGTTTGCATCCCGGGCACACACCGACACACCGCTTGTCAGGCCACGCTGTGGCGGCATCCCATATAAAGTGGAGGAAGATGTGCATGGATGTTAGCCCAGGGCCAGTCTTCCTCAGCAAAAAGAGGAGGATGGGCAGATGTTAGCTCAGGGCCGATCTTCCTCACAAAAAAAAAAAAAGGAAGGAGAGTCTGACATATGTTACAACATGAATGAATCTTGAGGACATTAAGCTAAGTGAAATAAGCCAGTCACATAAGGAAAAACACTGTATGATCCCACTGACATAAGGTACCTGGAATAGTCAAATTCATACAGACAGAAAATAGAATGGTGATTGTCAGAAAGCAGAATGGTGGTTGCAATGGGGAAATGGAGAGTTGTTTAATGGGTACGGAGTTTCAGTTTTGCAAGATGAAAAGAGTTCTAGAAATGGATAGTGGTGATAGTTGTACCACAATATGAATGTACTTAATGCTACTGAACTGCAGACTTAAAAATGGTTAAGAGTAAATTTTATGATATGTGTAGTTTATTGTAATTTTTTTAAAAAGGGCAATGTCAAAAATTACTTACATTTGATGCTGGTACTCATGCTTAATGGAACTGAGCAGTCCACCACCGCTGAAAGAGAAAAATCAGTGGTTTAATAATATTCATAATATTTATAAATGACAACAAATATCAAATGTGGAAATCAAAAAAAGTTCTAGAACTTGCGGTTCTTTGTTTTGATTTTTATGGTACTTCTAGAGATGAAAAATTTAATATCCTTGATAAAAAATACACTAGCTGGGATTAACAGCTCATTAGATATGGCAGAAGGAAATATTAGTGAACTTGAAAGCAAAGCAATATAAGCTATTCAAAAACAAAACAGACTAAAGAAAGATTGGAAAATAAACACACAGAGTATCACTGGCCTAATCTACCTGTATCATGCACTTAACATACTTATAATTGGAGTCCCAAAATCAGCTTGAAAAAATAGAGCAAACTTGGAAGACTTACATGATCTGATTTCGAGACTTACTGTAAAGCTATAGTAATTAAGATAGTGTGATATTGTAATAAAGACAGACAAAAGAACCAAAGAGCAAGTCCAGAAATAGACCAATGCATGTAGTCAATTGTCTTTCAAAAAGTGCCAAGGCAATTCAATAGAGAAAGGACAATCTCTTCAATAAATGATACTGGGAATATTTGGATATCCATAGGAAAAAAATTGATCCTTATATCATATCATATATGAAAACTAACTCAAAATGGATCTCAAACTTAAATGTAGGAGCTAAAACTTATACTTCTAGAAGAAAACACATACGAAAATCTTAGTGACCTAAGATTAGGCAAAGATTTCTTAAACTGGATATGAAAAGCATAAACTATTAAAAAACTGAAAAGCTGAATTTGGTTTCACATGTCACAAAATATTACTTTTCTTTAGATTTTTTAATCATTTAAAATATAAACTTCATAAAATACAAACTAAAATTTAAAAACGTTAGCTCTTCAAATGAGAAAATAAGTTTCTAAAATTAGTGAAATACTGGTGAAATTCAAATAAGACCTGTAGTAAACAGTATTGTAGCAATATTAGTTTCCTGGTTTTAATAGCTGTACTACAGTTATGTAAGATTATAACATTAGGGAAAGATGGATGAAGAGTTTCTGTGACACTCTGTATTATTTTTGCAACTTTTCTATAAGTCTAAAATTATTTTATAATAAAAATTTTAAAAAGAAAATGAAAAGACAAGTCACAGACCGGGAGAAAATATTTGCAAAACATGTATCTGACATAGGACCTGTATTTAATACATAAAGAACTCTCGCAACTTAATAAGAAGGCAGCAAAGAAGCCATTTAAAAAAGTGGGCAAAAGATCTGAACAGATGTCTCACCAAAGAAGATACACAGATGGCAAATAAGCACAAGAAAAGTTGGTCAACATCATTAGGCATCAGGAAAATATAAACTAAACCCCTGATGAAACACTACTACATATTCACTAAAATGGCTAAAAAAGGCTTTGCCAATAGGAAGTGTTGATGAGAATGTGGAAGTGATGGAAACGCAAAAGTGTATGTTAAACATACACTTACCATATACCTCACAATTCTACTCCTAGTAAATAAATTTATCTAAGTGAAATGGAAATATATGTTCAAAGATTGTATATGGATATTTATAGTAGCTTTATTCCTAACAGTTGAAAGTGAGTCAACACAATCCAAATGTCCACCAACTAGTAAATTGATAAACAAATTGTGATATATTCATAAATAGAATACTACTTGGCAATAAAAAGAAATACTGAGGGGCTGGCCTGGTGGCATAGCGGTTAAGTTCGCACGCTATGCTTCGGCGGTCCAGGGTTCGCAGGTGCAAATCCTGGGTGCGGACGTATACACTGCTTATCAAGCCTTTCTGTGGCAGCATCCCACACATAAAGTTGAAGAAGATGGGCATGGATGTTAGCCCAGGGCCAATCTTTCTCAGCAAAAAGAGGAGGATTGGCAACAGATGTTAGCTCAGGGCTAATCTTCCTCACCAAAAAAAAAAGAAGAAGAAGAAGAAGAAGAAATACCGATACACACAACAACATGGGTTAGTCTCAAAAGCATTAGCTAATTGAAAAAAGCCAGACCCAAAATGACAAATATTATAAGACTCAATGTATATGAAATTCTTTCTAGGCAAAACTATAGTGACAACAGATCAGTGGTTACCAGGATTGGGGGGAAGAGATTGATTGCAAAGGACTAGGGAGAACTTTTTGGGGGGATGTAATGTTCTATATCAGGGGTCAGCAAAGTTTTTCTGTAAAGGGCCAGAGAGTAAATGCTTCAGGCTTTGCAGGGCGATATGGCCTCTGTCACAACTAGTTAACTCTGCCTCTTAGTGCAAAAGCCATCACAGACAATATGTAAAAGAACGAATGCAATTGTGTTTATTTGTGAACAATGAAATTTGATTTTCATGTCACTTTCACAAGTTACAAAATATTGTCCTTTGGATTTTTCCCAACCATTTAAAAGTATAAATACCATTCTTAGTTTATGAGCTGTACAAAAACAGGTGGCAAGAGGCTTTGGCTCGCAAGCTGAAGTTAACTGACCCCTGTGTTATAGCGTGATTGTGATGGTGGTTACACAAACACATATATTTTTCAAAATATTTAACTGCACACTTAAAATTAGCACTTTTTTTGTATAAGTTATATCTCAATAAAGCTGACAAAAAATTATAGCTAGTATCTTCTTTCTGCAACTTCTTTAGTAGATTTGAAAACAAAAAAGCAGATTATAAACTTTTATTATATTAAAATCTATATCTAACCACAAAATAACATTAGGGATAACACAGGTAAAATAAAATAACATAGGCATTATAGAGATTTCAAATATAGTTAACAAAAATGGCATTCTGAATTTGCTATGTGTATAAAGTTAGATCACTAGCTGATATTTCACTCACTACACCAAACACAAATCCATTTATATATAAAGTATTCATTTCTGCTACAGATTTCCTCTAATTAGAAGTGAGGTTGAGGGTTTAAATCGGGTACAGAAAGTTCACATTTGCACATTTTTACCTTTGGCTGAAAGGATTTTATTATAGTGAACAGCCATGTGATTCTTGATAAGGTGGAGAGTACTTAGTCTGAGAGAGGAGGAGTCAGTGCAAAAAGCTAAAAATTAAAACATATTTAATCACTATATATTTAAAATTAGCATAAAAATCATCACAAGATAAACAAGTCACTGATTATCAAGCTATTTTTATAAAATGTTATGAAATTCAACCAGAGATATACTGACATTATAACTTGGTCATGCTGAACATGTCCTAGCCTTAATCTCGCACTGATAACTGATGAGCCATTGACCACTAGGGGTCAAACCTTTCTAAGAACAAGTTTTACAAGCCTGAGAGTTTGGGAAAGAAACTCTAGAAGATAATTTATCATTACATGACAAAACTATTTCTTATCAACAGCTCTCAATCTTGTAACTAAAAATGTTTAGCCACGTGCCTGATTATAAAATAATGTTACCATTGTTAATACTCGAATACATGGAATCTGGGAAATCAAACAAATCCCAAACTCCAAAACTCTAAGCAAAGATTCTATTCTGAGAGACAAACTTCTAACTTTACACCTGAAAACAAGATCTACAAATCAGTTCACCACATTCTTTTTGAATTATCAGGACTATCTTAACACAAGTACAATCACATAGAAATTCCACAACATTAAGCTTGACCTCAACTAAACTTGTTAAAAGAAATCTTAGAAATAATTAATCACTTATATACAAGGATAAACATATAAAATGTAAATGTAAACATAACTTTTTTAAACATTGAAAACAGTTTTTGAAAAGTAATACACACACATGGTAAAAAAAAGTAATCAACAGCTAAAACAGCATATAGAGATTGAAAAGTAAGTGAATTTCCTGTCCTGACCCCTAGTCTCCCCTCCTAGAAGTATATTCTGCTAATTTTTTTTTATAAATCCTTCCAGGGAAATTCTATGCATAATGTAAGCATATACAATAATGATAAGCTTGATACTGCTACCAGTACGACTACAAACATTTATTGAATATGCACCATGCATGCACTGTTCTAAGCTCTTTACATGTAAACACTCATTTAATCATTATTATCACCATTTAATAGAGGTGGAAACGGAGGCACAGAGATGTAAGTAAGGTCTTCAAGGTCACACAGCTGATAAAGGATGCAGTTTAGATGTGAACCAAGGTAGCCTCATACTTACAACCACCATACATACCTATACCAGCTCTGCACCTATATTCCTGAAAAAAAAAAGTTAGCAAACTACATATTGTTCTTCATCCTGCTTTTCTATGTATGTATATTTTAAATCTAGTTTTAAATTTTTAGTTAAAAATTATTCTTCAGGGGCCAGCCCAGTGGTGCAAGCAGTTAAGTGTGCGTGCTCCACTGTGGCGGCCTGGGGTTTGCCGGTTCAGATCCCAGGCGTGCACTGATGCACTGCTTGGCAAGCCATGCTGTGGCGGCGTCCCATATAAAGTAGAGGAAGATGGGCATGGATGTTAGCCCAGGGCCAGTCTTCCTCAGCAAAAAGAGAGGAGGATTGGCAGATGTTAGCTCAGGTCCGATCTTCCTCACCAAAAAAAAAAAAAAAAATTTTTCTTCAAAGTTTAGGATTCTGGCTCTGTGTATCTATACTTTATTACAAAGAAATAAGTGAGGTAACTGAAAATGTGATCCTTCCTTCACATTTGAAGGAACCAGTATCAAAGATTTTTCATGTAAATAAGGAAAAAAAGAGTTTCAATTATTTTGCCTAAAAACCTAGACTTAAAATTTTTAAGCTATAATTATAAAAATACATTTTAAATTCACATTAAAATTTTACTTTAACGGCTTTAAAATGTGAAAACATCACAGAAAATACAGATTCCCCTTTCCTGGGATCTAGGTATCCAGCTGGACAAAGAGACCCATGTTCACTCCTGATCCCAAATGCACTTTTCAAGTGCTCTTTTTCTCTGCACAGCTTTTCTTTTCCTGTGCTTGTGTTTGTAACAAGCACTGTAACAAGGAAGGCATGCCTTCAGCCCGGTAGCCTGCCAGCAGAGAGGAGAGCTGTGCTGGAGCCGCAGCAGGAAGCAGGAGGCGGCCGCGTCCACGTCCAGGGCACAGTAACCGCCTGAAATGATGGACTCCTCAATTCTCTGATCTCAAGAATTCCTATAATATTCAATTATAACTAATACTATGAAGTTCAAATATTGATTAAATGAAGTAATGGTTTCCACCATGTTATATAATTTATAAATAAAGAAAACAGACACAATCTTTTAACAAACAATCATTTACCATTTTAAGTACCTCACTTACCATTACTTTTGGTGCTCAGGTGTCCTTTAAATAGGCCTGGTGGACTATATCTGAGAAGGACAGAGGATGCTCTGACTTTTAACAGAAAAATATGAATTACGATAAATGAAACACAACTTTGACAAAGACAACAATATTGAACACTTAAAAAATAATAAATTTATCTTTGATTTAACCACCAGAGTCATTTAGAATTTTACTCAATCATATTACTAACCGGCAATAATATATCAGACAAAAATTCTGCAGCCATAGATAAAATGTTTTCTTTTTTAAGAAAATAAGTTATTTTCAAAACAGCTGTACCTTGAGACTTTAGTTTCACTGGGCAAAATGATAAATACATCAATTCTGTTATTTGATATATACTGATTTCATTCTGTACTATATTGACCTACTGGAGTTTTAAATGATTTTGAGATAGAACTGAGATTTTGAGTTAATATATATGTATTAACTATTTCAGTTAATCATAGACTAGTCTGTCTTAAAAATAATTTTAGGAAAGTAATCGTCTCATGAAGTAATTGAGTAAAATAGAAATTATATGTTACAATGTATAAATAAATAAAATAAAATAAATACACACACACACACACACACACACACGTCAGAATCAGAACTTAATGCTTAAAAGATGTCTTAAAAGTTCATCCAGTCCCACTCACTTACCCTCTTGTTTGGCTCCTATTTAAACAGCCTATATTTAAAAGCACTTCTAATAATGGAAAACTCACTATCTTCCCTAAAGGCAGTGTCTCATCTTCCAGACCAGATGGACTGTCAGAAAAGTAGACATATGCACAAAATAATTTCTCTTTCCAAAAAGTGATTGTGCTTTAAGGGGAAACCTCCACGATAGGAAGGCTGAGTTATAGAGCTTAATGGAATTTAACATGCAAAATATAAATAGTGTATCCCCAATTTACTCATTAGATAACAGAATATTCAGGGGGACTGTGATTAAATTTGGGGAATAATTCTTACAGCCTTTGACAAACAATCATTGGGGCTGTTGGGACTGTGTGGAGACTGGTGAGAACTTGTTCACTTTTAAAAAAAAGCTTTATTGGGATATAATTCACATACTATACAATTCATCCATTTAAAGTATACAATTCAGTGGTTTTTAGTATATTCAGAGTTGTGTAAATTAATTTAAGAACACTTTCATCAGAGAAAAGGAAATACACATTTTTATTGTCTTTTATAATTACTTTTACTATGTTGTTTTTTTGTGTGTGTGTGAGGAAGATTGGCCCTGAGCTAATATCCATGCCCATCTTCCTCAATTTTGCACATGGTACACCACCACAGCATGGCTTGATGAGCGGTGCGTCGGTCCACGTCCAGGATTCAAACCTGCAAGCCCTGGGCCACTGAAGCAGAGCACACGAACTTGACTATTGCACCACTGGGCTGGCCCCTGTTGGTCTTTTTTAAAGTTCCTTTTTATTTTCCCTCCCCAAAGCCCCAGCACACGGTTGCATATCCTAGTTGTAAGTCATTCTAATTCTTCTACGTAAGCCACTGCCACGGCACGGCAACTAACAGACGAGTGGTGTGGTTCCTTGACTGGGAAGCAAACCTGGGCTGCTGAAGTGGTGAGTGCCCAACTTTAACCATTAGGCCATCAGGGCTGGCTCCTGTTTGTTTTTTCATGTAGATTCAAATTGCCCTTCCTTTCGCATTTTTTTTCTTTTTTTTGGTGAGGAAGATTGGCCCTGAGCTAACACCTATTGCCAATCTTCCTCTTTTTGCTTGAGGAAGAGTGGCCCTGAGCTAACATCTGTGCCCATCTTCCTCTATTTTGTATGTGGGACACTGCCACAGCATGGCTTGATGAATGGTGTAGGTTTGCGCCCGAGATCTGAACCCGCGAACCCCGAGCCGCTGAAATGGAGTACGCCAAACTTAACCACTGCGCCACGGGGCCGGCTCCCTTTTGCATTTTTTCTAAGGTGAGTCTGCTGGAAATGAATTGTCTCAGTCTTTGTTTATCTGGGAATGTCTTTCCTTTGCCTTCATTTTTGAAAGATAGTTTTTCTGGAAACAAAATTCTTGTTTGACAGTTTTTTTTCTTTTAGTATTTTGAAAATGTTGTCCCACTGTCTTCTGGCCTCCATTGTTTCTGATCAGAAGTCAGTAAACCTCACTGAATTTCCCTTTTACATGATGAGTCATTTTTTCTTTTGGTTTTCAACATTTTCTTTTCGTTTTTTGGCTTTTTACTAAGATGTGTCTGTGTGTGGATCTCTATATTTGTTAAACTTGCAGTTCACTGTGCTTCTTTGATGTGACTAGTGTTATTTAGCATATTTGGGAAGTTTTTAGCCATTATTTGACATTTTTTTCTGCTCTATTGTCTCTTCTTTCCTTTTGGAACTCCCATTGTACATATGTTGGTGTGCTTAATGGTATCTCACATTGGTATCTGAGTCTCTGTTCACTTTTATTCATTGTTTTTCAGATTATGTAATGTCTATCAATCTTTTTTGAAATTTGCTGATTCTTTCTTCTGCCAATTCCAATCTACTGGTTGAGAATTTTTCATTTTATTTTACTTTTCCATTCCAGAATTTCCATTTTTTTTTCATAATTTCTCTTTAAAAATATCCTCTATTTGAGGAGACATTATCATCATAGCTTCTTTTACTTAAGCATGGTTTCTGTTCTTTGAACATATTTATGATGGCTGCTTTCAAGTCTTTGTTAAATCTGTTAACATTGTCAGAATTGAAGGGAGAAATAGATAATTCAGTTCATTGGGCCCTCTCACAGGCAGTTTCTGGTGCCTGCTTTGTTTCCTGCGTATGAGTCACACTTTCCTGTTTCTTTGCATGACTCATGATTTTTTTTCATTGAAAAGTGGACTTTTTAGGTAATATATTGCAACAACTCTGGACAATTATTCCTTTGCCGCCTCTCCTGGGCATATTTTCACTGCTGGTTGCTTGTTTATTTTATTAAGTGATTTGGCTAAACAATTCAATGATATCTATTTCGCTTATAGTGTGAAGCCCCCGATGTCACTCCTCAGAGAGCGCAGCTTTGGGCACGTGCACAGTCACCCTGGGAGGACTGGTTTTAGCCAGGCTTGTCTCTTTCCTCGATCTCTCTGTTGAGCTGTCTGCTTCACTTGGTATCACACCACTACTACAGCTCCACTAATTGCTGGCTGATTGCTCTATTGTTTTCTACAATGCCCTGGGGCCTATGTTGCTTCACAGTCTGTCCAATTAAATTCAGGCAGGGGCAATTTTTGAGGCCAAATTTGGAGGTTTGTTACGACCCCAGGAGGTCATTATTATTAGCTGTCTCTTTCTCTGGCTCTCTCTGATAAACTAGCTGGCCTACAGTTTGGCTTGTTGCTCTGAGAGTCATTAGTCTCTTCTTAATGGCTTACCACCAAAATCTCCATTTTTTTCAAGAGCAGCCCTAGGCTTGAACTTCCCCACACTTGTTTCAAATACTCAGTGCCTTTGGGGAGAGGCTGGAATTCTTTCCTCTTATGTACTGCTTCTTTTTTTTTTTTTTTAAAGATTTTATTTATTCATTTTTTTTCCCCCCAAAGCCGCAGTAGACAGTTGCATGTCACAGGTTCACATCCCTCCAGTTGCTGTACGTGGGACTCGGCCTCGCGTTGGACGGAGAAGCGGTGCCTCGGGGCGCGCCCGGGACCCGAACCCGGGCCGCCAGCATCAGAGCGCGCGCACCCAACCGCTAAGCCACAGAGCCGGCCCTGTACTGCTTCTTCACATGGGTAAAATCTCCCAGCACTGCTCTGGGCCCTGGTGAAGGTTGTAGCCTCTGGTTTTCTCAGCTTGCCTCTTCCCGTGTGAAACCTCTACCCTACTAGTGAGCTGGGGAGAGGGCAAGCTGGACCTTAGTATTCTAACAGTGCCATGCCTCGGGTAGAGCCTCTGCTGTATAAGGCTGTATGGAAGAAGAGAGCCTCTGACCTCTGAGCCACACTTATCAGGAGTTCAGCCTCTACAAATCTGAGTTGGAGGGGATGAGAAACAATGCTGGCCTGTCCCTCCTGGTCAGCTATGATATCCTTTGGGAGCTGAAGAGGAGGGAGAATCCCATCTTCTCGATCACATCTGCCCAGAGTGTAGCTTCCATCAAACTGAAGTGGGGTGGCAACGAGGGAAGGAGCGGATTCTGGCTCAAGTGCCACAGACTCTTGCTGTTATTACCAAGCTTCAGTAGATTTTATCAGATAAATATTTCATCACGCACTGAATGCCTTTATGGCAATTTCCAGAGACTTTAAATGCTTATGTGTGTTTAAAAAATTTTTTCATCAGTTATGCCTCTTTCACTGAGGAGTGGGTGTCTTGAGCTCCTTGTGCTGTTACTCCAAAAGTGAGGTTATTTACTTTTTTTTTTTTTTTTTTTTTTCACTGAGGAGTGGGTGTCTTGAGCTCCTTGTGCTGTTACTCCAAAAGTGAGGTTATTTACTTTTAAGCAGAATAGCTGTATCTTGTTAGGTAGAAATATGGAGTTGTTTTACTGTTGTAAGGAAGTTCAAATGTGTGTAGCAGGGTGCAGATAGAAGCTGAGTAGCCAAAGTGGTAGACTGTGCCAGTTATCAAATTATCACCTCTCAGCTCCAAATTCACCCTTCAATACACCCTCTGAAATAATAAAAATTCCGTTAAATAGTTCTCCTTTATCAGTAGAGGGCCCTGGAAGAACACTATAGGAGGAAGGAGCTCTCCTACTGTTTCTTGCTACTGAATGGTGGGTCAGCATTGTGGGTTTAAGGAGATATGGTGGTACTCTACCTCCAACCATGAACCCAGAATGCACACTCCCTCAGTGAGTGACCAGAGAAAATCAAAGAAACAGTGCAGGTAGAAGGCCTGCAGCATGTGGTGCCTGCGTTAAGAGGTGATCACAAGGCCAGGTAAGGCCCTCCTCCTCTCCAGAGGTTTGTTTCCCACGATCCCATGACCTTATGACAGGGTTACTATGTGCTACAGGCCTCCTATCACCCCAGGGCCCCCATTCTCTCTGAAAATGTGTGCTCCTGGCCACTGGCTATAGCTTGTTTGTGCCCTGCCTGCACTCCAGAGAGCTGATTCTTATTTGTCCAGTGACTGCAGCCCACCTTTGGCTTGGGCATCAATGAACTTCCCTGCCATCTAGTGGGATGCAACTACACCTTCTCCAATGAGGTCTGAACTCCAGGCTTTGGGAGGAAGTCCCCCTTCCAAATTTGTCCTTCCTTGAGTACTCTCCCTTGGCTCTTGGGTACCATTTAGAGATTTCTTTTTTTCTCTTTTCTTTTTTTTAAGGATTTTTTTTTAAATTTTTATTATTGCGGTAATATTGGTTTATAACATTGTATAAATTTCAGGTGTACATCATTATACTTCTGTTTCTGCATAGATAACATCATGTTCACCAACCAAACACTAATTACAATCCATCACAACACAAGTGTGCCTAATCATCCCTTTCGCCCTCCTCCTTCCCCTGTTCCCTTCTGGTAACCACCAATCCAATCTCTGTCTCTTGTGTTTGTTTGTTGTTGTTTTTATCTTCTACTTATGAGTGAGATCATACAGACCTGCTCCCTCTGACTTATTTCACTTAGCATAATACCCTCAATGTCCATCCATGTTGTCACAAATTGCTGGATTTCATCATTTCTTATGACCGAGTAGTATTCCATTGTGTATATATACCACATCTTCCATATAGAGATTTCTTATATCTTATATTCTTTTATGATAGTTTAATAATTCTTTAAACTTTCCTTGTTTAAATCACTATATGGTTTCTATCTCCTGATTGGACCCAGATTGATACGAAGGGACATGGAAAATTAGCCTCAGACCAAACGCTAGGAAAAAGAACATCATCCTCTAACTGGATTAGGACTAAAAACCTGTCCATGAGATTGAAGGTCTTGCTAGTGTAATGAAATTCATCAGTATGTGCGAGCAGCCCAGTTCCCTACACAGTGTGATTTCACCAAGACAGCCAGAAGACTTTCGTGAGGAAAGGTGAAGGTTTTCTTGTGGCCAAGTTTCCCAGGAAAACCAGAATTTTGGAATCTGATGCAATTGATAAGTGTCTCTATTGGACCAATAGATTAAAAAAATTTTTTTTCAAGCTACTTTCAGTTATCTGTACCAATAGGGTTGTCTTCTTTTCTCCCCAAAGGTCATTGATAATAGAGCAGATGGCAGTTTGTTATTCTCAATCTTTTCTTCCTCTTCTCCCTTGAGAAACTGGAAAAAAGACCTCATGTATAGATCTTCTAGTCCAAGTCCACCATTTTCCAAATGACTAAGGCCCAAGGAGGCAAAGTGATTTGCTGAAGATTACCCAGTTAATAGCAAACAAAGATTACAAGCAAGATTTACTGTTTTTCAGGCTGGTGGTCTTTCTATTACACCACCACACAGGAGGTTTGCCTTACAAAAGAAAGTCAAGAAATGTGATTACAGTAAGAAAATGACAAAAGAGAAGAGAAATAATTTTTTTTACTTTAGGTGTCTTAATATTTTGTGCTCTGAAATCATCAAAGGTAACATCTCAATGAAATCTAAGAAATTTAGAAACTGCAATATTTTCAATTAAAATTAAATATTTTAGCTCTGGCTAAAATTATTTATGGTTTCCTAGTAATAATAATAATTATGGTATATGAGAACTGACTGCTCCAGATATTGGTTGACTATTACATTTGTTGTAAAAATTCAAAGTCAATAACAGTGTTTGATACATATATTATATAATATCCTAAAAATGAAGTTAATTAAATTGGGTAAATTATAAAAATATAAACTTTTCACATTTTGACATGTACCTAATTTTAAAAATAATTCAATAAACAAATACTGAGAACATATTAATTCTATTATACTCTAAATTTTACATATATCCTTTTCCCATGCCCCCACATCTACCATGTGGCAGTAAATAAAAACAATGGTTCTAGGGTTTCACTTGCCTCACCTGGATTCAAAGCCTGTTCACTTACTGTGACTGTAGCAAGCAATTTACGATCTCTTATTCACTGTAAAATGAGGATAATACCTACCTAACAAGCTGTATTTGTGGATCAAATAATGCGATAACTTAGGAATCTCATTAGGAATGAGTTTCTAAGTTATTCCAACTTAGGAATGGTTTCTAAGTTATCTCATTATTTGATCCACAAATACAGCTTGTAAGCAAGCGCTTAATGTTAGTTTATGTTTTAAACTTCCTTAAAACCAGACAAGCATGTTGGTTTGCTTTTTCCGGAACTTAGGTTGGTAAAGTGTCAGAATATACAGTTTGCTAATCAATGAACAGTCATCTCCTACATTCAGAACAGCACTTATTTTGATCAATGATTACATAATAAAGGCACACTGATATTCAAAGGAAGGCTTATTGCAAAGAACCATCTAGCAGCTTGGTTTAAAGGTACTTATAAAAGTAGATAAGAACACTGAATTGGGAGGCTCGGGTCTGGAGATTGCCTTACTTGGCTTGAGGAAAGAATGCTACTTGCTCAGAAAGTGTGACGACACAAATTATTTGGGTTGGGCCGATTCCAAGACATTTAAAATTATACGACCCCAACTGTTCCACCATGATGTCCACTTGACTCACAGTATTCAGTCAAGGGCACGTGTATATGATTATGGATTAGTCCTTTGCTACTAAAACTGTAGCTAGCAACACTGCATCACTTGGAAGCTTATTAGACATGCAAAATCTCAGCCCCACCAGACCTACTGAATCATAATCTGCATTTTGACCTGATTCCTAGGGGATTCCTATTCACGCTAAAGTTAGAGAATCCTTGGGTTACACAACAGTTTTGGGGTTGGGGATCGTTTGTTACAGAATGGAAGATTTCGTATTTACTGAGTACTTAAAATATGCCAGGAACTTTATATGTATTATCTACATTTAATCCTCAAGAACTCTAGGACATGGACGTTTTACCCCACGTTCTTGAAATGAGGAAATTAAGGGTCGCCCCTGCACAGAGCAGCGGGGCTTGATTTGGGGCCCACGGAGGTTTGACTCCAAATACCAAATTGGTTCCTCTGCCTCGGAGCCATCAAGGTAATAAAAGCGACATGACTCCAAGTTCAGGGTACCTGGCTTCCTGGAGTCATGGCGACAAATTCTGAGCAAGAAGCAGACCTGAGAACCCGGCAAGCAGGGTCTCGAGGCAACACTCAGATCAACACTGGCGACCAAGCAGGGGACCGGGAGCGCCCAGGGTGCAGCCTCGACCCCCGGGGGACCCGGACCCGCCACCCAAGGCCCGGAGCGCCGGCGGGCGCGAGGCGGTCGCCCGGGAGAGCTGCCCTTTACCTCTCCGGCTGCCATCCATGCTTAGCTCCTCTTGCAGCCGCCGTGGGGACACGTTGGGTCCCCTTCGGTCCTTCCCCGGGCCGGGCCAGCCCCGGCAGCAGAGAGTTGGCAAGGAGGAGCCGGCGGTGGCGGGCAGCAGCTGGAGACCGTCGCCAGGCCGGTTGCTAAGGGCAGGCTTTAAGGCGACGGGATTGTGACGTCAAGGCGCAGGGACGTGCGCCCCCGAAGCCCCGCCCCCGGTGGTACCCGGAGAGAGGAGATCGCCGGCAGGACGCTGTGACCGCGCGGGGGAAGTTCCCCGAGCGCCAGTCTGTTGCTCTGGGATCCTGCCAGTCATCCACAGAGCGGCTTCCTGTCAGGTGCCAAGTCACCAGCACCTGGCAGGCCTTGTCCCTGCGGGAAGAGCGGGGAGAGAAGGTGGTCTCATCTGGCATCCGCGTCCCCTGGGTCCTGGGAAAAAATCAAACGCAAATGTTGGTTGAGGTCAGGGTAACATTTAATCAGTTCCAAATAATTAAATTTCAAAGCAGCCTGTGAACATTTGGATTAGTGGAAGTCCTGGGCATGAATAGCATCTGCATATTTACATCTTAATTCTTTCACCTCAATAATCAGTTTGCATTTCCTTTCTGCTTACCGAGCTTCCTCCACGTCCCCCCCGCCCCTGCCTTTTTTTTATATTAAGGCTCCAATCTGTTTTCCTTTATGGCGTAAGAGTTGCAACATGAACAAGGCGTTGATTGATCAGTGGCTTTCTACAATTTGTTTAATTTTGGAGCTGTTACCTTTGAATTCTTGGAAATAAGATCAGAATAGGGCAGGGAGCATTCTGTAATGTAGCGCTCCTCATCAGCGGCACTACTGACATTTTGGGCTGGAGGCGTAATTCTTTGTTGGGGGGCGGGGGGCTGCCTTGTACGTTGTAGGATGTTTTGCAGCATCCCTGGCCTCTACCCACTACATGCCAGTAGCAACCCACCCCCACCCCCACCCTTCCACCCCCCCCAGGGTTGTGACAATCAAAAATGTCTCCAGCCATCGCAAAATGTCCCTTGGGGGGAGCAGAATCGCACCCCAACCCCCCCCACACCCCCGTTGAGAACCACTGCTGTAATGGAAAGAGTACTGGCTTTGGAGCCAGATATGTGGAACTTAATTGTGAGTTTTCTGCCACTTGCCAGCTTGATCTTACCTCTCTGAGCTTCAGGTCCCCTCTTTTCTAAAATGTAAAACTGCTACTAACTTTGTAGCAGAAAGGATTAATGTTTACAGTGCCTGGAAAATAAAACAAGTTATTCGACAATTAATAGTTTTCTCTCTTCTAAGACTCCTGTTTCAGAAGACTTGGGATATCAGGGAATTCAGGCATACGGGAGTAAGTCAGGAACCCTATAACAAGGAAAAGGAAATAAGCCAGAAATCTATTTATAATAACACCTGAACTCCTGGTTCTGGAAGACTCTAGAGTAGGGAGATAATTTGATTCAAAATTTGAGGAATTTGAAAGTGTGTGTGATGGCTCTGTAGCCCCAACACCAAAGGTCATTTAGAAGGATACAGGAGCAGAGTCAGATGTTACCCGGAGAACAAAAATTCTCTTGCCTGCCTAGTCACTAATGCTTGAAATCCCTGTCTAAAAACAAGAAGCCTTTGCCCCGTCCCTCTCCCAGTGGCCAAGTGGTTAAGTGTATGCGCTCTGCTGCAGTGGTCTGGGGTTCGCTGGTTCAGGTCTGGGGTGTGCACCGAAGCACCGCTTGTGAAGCCGTGCTGTGGCGGCTCACATATAAGTAGAGGAAGATGGGCACGGATGTTAGCTCAGGGCCAATCTTCCTCACCAAAAAAAGAGGAGGATTGGCAGATGTTAGCTCAGTGCTGATCTTCCTCACACACAAAAAAACCCATGAAGCCTTTTATTCCACTACTAGCATCTGGAAAATACCTTGCATATAGTAGGCCTCCAGTAAGCATTTGTTAAATTGAATTAGAGCTAGAACTTAAAGGGCAAACACCTCTAGGAGTGGTAACACAGTGACTTGATTCACACAAAGGTGATGTCTGTTCTTATGAAAGTAGATTTTTGGATGAAAAGAAGATTTTGCTTTGAAATAGGAAAGGGTCTCCAAGATTGGGAGAGGACAGCAAAATGGGAGAGGAATGGTATTGCTTGGTATCTAACTTAAACTGAAGCCATTCTCATTTCATTATTTCTCTTTTAAGTATTTTGTTCCAGTTCTTTGAAGAAGTGCACAATAGGGTCTTTTTTCCTCCAATTTTAGCAGTGAACATATTATCATAAATGCAATTTAATTTGTCCTTGGCTTTCACTCTGTGTGTATAAACAAGAGAGAGAATATCCTTTCTGGTTGCTTTTCGCAGGAGACAATTCATGATCATAGACAGATGCATGCAGCCTGTATGGGCTTATTGTAGAATTAGCTCCCAGGAACACCCTTCCGTTGGGGGAATCACCACCAGCTGCAATGGTCTTGAAGAGTAGGCATTCCTGAAGACCTTTTGTTGAATATTTAAATATGAATTTCACATTGTTAAGAAATTATTCCAATGCTATATTTATTTTTATTGATATCTAGAAATTTGTGTATCTGTATTTGAGAAGGAAAAACTTTCTCTTCTCTAATGAATTGTTATACTTACTTCTATTACTGGGTTTCTCTTTTTGTCTTAGCTGACAGGAAGGTCAAAACTAACATTTGTGCTCAGTTGCAGTAATTATTCGTAACCTGTTTTTCTATTTATCTCTTTAATTTCCTTTATTAGGCAGGTGGCTTTTTTTATTCTACTCTTATTTTAATGGCTCAATTGGATCTATATTTTATTGGATGAGCCCTAAGCCCTTTGTAAATGGAGATATAAATAGAATAAACTATATATTATACATACTATAATATATAGTCTAATACATATAATATATGGTTTATTTATTGCATTTTATTATATATTATTTTAAAACATTATATTAGTATATATACATTTACTCTATATATTTATAGATAACCTTTAGTTTCATAATTCAGAGGATTCCTGGAATTCATGTTGATCTGTTTGGACATGCTTAGCACCATCAGTGAAAATTATCCAATAAATGCAGTAAAGGCAGTAACAGGTAAAACGCCAAGATAGTCTTTTTCCATTCATTGGGTTGTTATGAACGTATTTTAATTTTTAAAGTCCCTAAAGGACAAGATGAAAGCCATTTAGGAAATATTTTTTAAGGAATACATAACCAGGGCAGAGTAAAAGAAATAGAATTAAATGGTGTGTGTGCACTTTGTCGTGACCTCAGTCTCAAAACCAAATCCCTTAGGTTTTGGTGATTGAAGAATGCTGGAAAATTTGAGCTATTGACTATCTCTCAGTCATTCTCCAATCAAAATAGTGTAACTACTGATTCATGTAATAACTAACTGAGAAAACAGACCTCCGGGCTTGGGCGTATTAGCATGTATGAAGTAATGGATTAATTTGCTGTTTGACGCTAGAGGGGGCTTTAGGAAGGTTTTAAGCTGCATCCCTGTGCAGAGAGCAGCCAAGCTGAGGCAATGTTAACCTACACATCTTATTCAAGGAGTGTTAAGGTGCAACTGAAAAACATTTTTAAAAGTGACTGCAAGGTAGAGCTTTTCTGATTATAGTTATTGACATATATACCGAGTTCTTTTTTGAGCACAGGAAAAAATGATTGTATTATCTAAGGGTCCTTGATAGATAAAATATCTTCATCATTTTCAACCTATAACTTGATTTTTCTTAATTTTTTTTTAGAGAAGGAGAACAGGAACGACCATAATTCTCTATAAAGCAATATGTGCCTAACAGATGGACAACAGTGAGCAAACAGGATATACTGACCCCAAGTGACCACTTTCAGTCCTCTTAAGGAATAGAACTCTGATATCTGAACACAAAGATAATCTTGTCCATAGAAAATGATTATTCTCAGAACTATAACACCACATGGATTTTGCGCTGTACCTTTTAATATGTTCCATTCCACACTGTATTTTCACTTATCCTACAATTGAGAAGAGCACAAAATTATGACTCTGTAGGTAGCTTAGCTGGCTTCTTATTACTAACAGAAGATTCACTCATCTTGTGACCCGTTAGCAAAGGCTGCTAGAATTGTAGATATCAGGCCCACTGATAACTGTCCTAGTCCTCCATCGCTCCAATTTCTCCCCAGCTGTGATCTTTAAATCTTTTCGTTCAATTAAGAGAACAAGTCTCTGTGAACAGAATGTAATCATTCTCTGGTTACTAGGTAACCTGTCCCCATAGCTTAGACAGAGCATTTTATCTATTCTTCCACTGTCAATCTGTTGTCACAGTACATCAGGGACAACGCTCGGCCTAAAGGTTTGATAATCTCCACCTAATGTGTTCTCTGTTTACAAGTGGCTTCATCGTTAAAAACAAAGCAAAACAAAAAAATAAACGAAGTGTTAGTCTATCCTGGTAATATTTGTTACACAAAAAATAGAGCTCAGAGTTTTAACAATTAATGGATTTCTGGGAAGTTGCAATGAAGCTCTTATAAGTGCATCTATGATTCACAAACTGCCACATACAAATCAATTAAAAAAAACCCAACAGCTAATTTTTGTAAGCATCAATGAAAACCATCCTTTGTTGATGCCCTACCTAGCTTTTCTAAGGGATTCAATCTTCACCCCAGTCATACTTTAGTTCTTTGTCTTTTAGGATGTCTGCCTGCAATATTGTCCTCAAAAGCTTTCAATTATTAGGCTAAATGACACAAAATTGCTGTTTTATAAGTCAAAAGTGATCAAATACAGACAATATCTTTTGGTTTGACCTAAAAATTGAAAGTGTTTGTAGAGCACTATTGGAAACAGATTTAAATTTAGACTGCATTGATTATTTCTTTAGAATATTTGAGCAAGTAAGCTTAGACAGTGGAGGTGGGGGATTGCCTGACCTCCTCAGAAATGCTCAATTTCTGACTTGACTTGGCTCAAATATAAGATTTTTCTTACCCTCTTTGAGTTCTTCCATTTTCTTGTCTGCAAACAATTATTCAGTATTCATTGTTTCATGTTTTTAAACAAAATCTAAATTGCCCAACAGTATGAAAATGTGTTATGAAAACAGCTCTTGTTATGGAACAGTAAGTGTCCACTGAAG